CTGACTGCGTCTTCCAGCTGAAAGAGGCTGCCCTGTACTCCAACTGGTGGGCGGCTTCCCCTCTGCGCCTGCCCACATGGAGCTTGGTGGCACCCTGGCTGAACACCATGGCCAGCTGGCCGGGCAGCCGCTTTTCTTCGCTCCAGCCCGGCTGCCCTGCGCTCAGCCCAGGGAGGCTGTGCCTAGCTCCAGCTGTGAAAGCCACAATCCGCTTGCTGGGGTGTTTCAGCCCTCCCGACCTCCCAGCTCCCACCATTCCTCGCAGCTACTCACCGGTGTTGTTGCTCAGTGAGTAGCTGCTCCTCAAATGAGGAAATCTAATGTAAATGTACTGCGCAGATGCACAGTTCAGAGAGGGCTCAAGAGCTACTCTTAGAGCCCCTGAGATCTACCGGTAGCTCACGATCTACTGGTTGGTGACCATGGTGCTACAGTGAATGCGGAAAGGGACCCCTGCTGCCACCCCATGCTGGGACCCCCAGGTAACCTCTCAGGCCTCACATCACCATGGAGGACTGTCCCATCGATTGGACAGTTGGGGAGGGTGCCAAAGGGCCCAGGGCAGGCATCCCAAACTGCTCCATGTATGGGATTACCAGGATCAATCCTCCTCTTCTGGACTAGAGAAAAATGTGGATTTAAAGTACTCTCATTACTTATTTCCACCTTTCTGGTTGGTTTTACGCAGTTCCCTGCCTATTAGACTGGCTAAGTGGATTATGATCTAGGAGCTTAGGTGCCTAAATCAGGGTTCTTAAATTCAAGTGTAATTCCTATGATTTTCTAGGCATCTAAAAATTAGGTGTCACAAGGCTCAGCGTCAAAAGTCCTACAACTTTTGTGGATCTGGGCCCAAATCTTCAAAGAATTAGCACACTTGAGGAATTCAAATTTTAAATGAATAAAAAAAGTCTTAGTTTTTACAGATCAGAAAAGTGAGCCTCTCGAGGGACCTTTCTGAAACTTATCAAGTGTACTTCTTACCCACAATTAAAATTTCAGCCCTTGAAAATTTCAGAAAGTTAAAAGCTTGCGAATACTAAATTAACTACAGCCAGTGCCTGCTGTTGTATCTCACTACATAAATACGCTTCCTAAAGAATACTTTAATCTGTGATCCCTTCAATGGATTTCAGAAGGAATGATGATGTGGCAATAGTAAAAAAAAAAAAAAAAGCCTTTTTTGTGGGAAGAAGAACATATGCTATATTCGGCAGTACCCAGGCAGAAAAGCGTGCAAGGAGCGTTGTCCTTCAACCCTCTTGCACTTAATATCAGCAATTTTCAAAGCATAAATCAGATAAAGTTGTAGTGTAAACAGACACCAGTGTTTTACTACTTGAAGAACACGTGGGGGCAAGGAAAAAGAAGAGTCTGGCTGCCAATGCATTTTCTTGTAAAATTAAAGCATGCGTTCATTCAATTCCTGCAGCGATTCCAGAAAATGACCCTTGGAGCTCTCTCAAGCACTCCCTGCTGCAATTAGGTTTAGCAGCCTCTGTGCTTAGTCACACGGCCAAGTTTCGTTCCTACTGGGGCTTGACCTAATGCTTCCTCCCTCCCCCTAAGAACAGGAGAGGTCTGCTCGAAAGTTACTGTTCACACAGCTGCAGCGCAACCTGCAGCCCCGGCGAGCCAGCCAGCAAGCCCCCCAGCCAGTCCCGGACCCCGAGGCTGCTGCTGCCGCCTAGGCTCGCTGGGGGTCGTCACGCCTGGCAGCGGCGTCAAACGGACCCGTCGGGGGAAAAACACTCGGCCACCAGAGCGGGGCCAAAGCCCAAGCTCGGCCCTGCGGCCAGGAGGCAGCGGGGTGCGCGGCACGTGTCCGGGGGGAAGCTACCGCCGCGGGGCCCTTTGGTCAGGGGTAGGGGCGTGCGGGGAGACCGGTGACACGTCAGCCCCGCGAGCAGCGCAGCCCTAAGGGGAACTGCCCGCGCCCCCCGGCCGCCCCCGCGAAGC